TATATATATATATATATATATATATATATATATATATATATATATAGAGAGAGAGAGAGAGAGAGAGAACTCGCCAACCAAAAAAAGTCGTAATTAACGGTCTTAATTAAAACATAACTTTATCGAATTTATAAAAAAACTCAAGACGTACCATGAGTAGCGATTGACTTATGGATGAAGGGCAACACACGAGGAACTATATCGTGAGTAAGATTCATGGGTTTCGATTTGGCTCCCCTTGTCATCTGCATCATCTCTTTCAAATCTCCAAAAACAAACCTATAAGAGTTACCTCTAAGACCTTGATCTCTTAGAAATTTTTCTATCTTTTTTGGTTTAAACCACAACCAGTTGGAAATCCTCCATATATATAACCCCATGATTGTTGCTACTCCAAGAACACAAAGAACTGCAATTGCTTCCATCCCTCGTGATTAGCTTTTGAAGCTTGTGGAGGTGATAAGAAAAAGATAGTTATTTATCATTGTGCAATGTTCAGTTTACCACCTTATAGTTTGAGAAATTGATGGTTATGATCCATATGTTTTTTATTGTTGTCTGCCTCGTCAAATGATTGTTGTAGGGCGTAGGTAGTATAGTGTAAATGTATAATATAAGCAAATAATAGTAAACAAAATTTCTTTGATTCTTAAAAGTAATATCTTGTTAAAATGGACTATGACGTTTGAGAGTATTGGTGAAAAAAAAGGATAAGAAAAATAGTAGGCTGCTTAAGTTGGAATTACTTTGTAGTTGAGGGTGAATATATAAAAACCTTTATATAAGAATTCCAGGTATTGTTAATTATAGGTCAAAACCACTTAGACGGTCAAAACCACTACTAATATACAACAATTAATAACGTAGAAAGTATTGAAATGTGAACCAGTAAAAATCTCCAACAATACTAAACCCATTATTAACAAAATTACATTTCTGGTCCTTTATCATATAATTTATTTTCTATATTAATCCTTTTCAATTTTAATATATATATATATATATATATATATATATATATATATATA